ATCTCTGGTGTAGAAGTAGTATATTGAATGGTAGAAAATGACAAACAAGAGCAGTGACCATAGCATGAACTTGTTGGTCATCTGAGTAATAGCCTCAATTTTCGTTCCAGAGCATCTACCTCCTTGAGGAAACCTCTGAATGTCTTGTTCTTTGTATTTCTCTTTTAGTACTTACTCTGCCTTGCCTGGATTATGGTCTTACCATATTTTTGATTGGAAAATTCTTAAGGTAGTAGGGACTACAATTCCCCCTACTCAGTGTCTTCCAGCACCTTTAACCTAAGGTTTTGTGTTTCACTGGTGCTTACTGAACTGGACTGCTGGCAGAACTGGACTACTGGTAGAACGCCTTTGTGCTTCTCTGAAAGTTCAGATGAAGAAGGTTGTATTTGCTGAGGTGGAAGTGATGGTGGTGGTGGATTCTGCCAGAACCATCTTTGTGCCTGTCTTATGGGTCCCTTATTTGCCATTGGAGCCTTTAGCTTCTCCTAAATGACTCAGATATTTGGACTGTTAGATGCTTAGTCTGGCTTCATCACTGATGACCAAAGCAAGCAAGTGACCAAACACACACACCCCTCACAGTCATACCTAACAGTCATACCTAACATACTATTTGTTATTAAACACATAGTATATTTTTGATAATACATGGCATGTCAGGTATGACTTTCAGAAACTCGTTCAAATCCTGCTCAGTTTGGTAACACATAGTATGTTCTTAACTTCTTAGATTAAGAGTACCCAGAATATAAAAGTGTACAACTTTCAGGTAATAAATCATAAAAATGTAATGTTTGTACTTTTTCCCAAGTTTATTCTGAGACATAGGTCTTTTTTAATGGCACTTTGACACACACTTTTATAAATCTTTCTGTTGAAAAACGTAGCATTTATAGTCAACTTTTGAAAAATTATCTTGCTTGTAGCTGGAGGACACATTGTAAACACATTATCAAGTTCTAGTTTTGGAACTGTGTACAGCAAAGAATTTTTTTCAAGAAGGAAATTGTTTGTAATGTCATCATATTTTATAGAGGATAATTTCATTTCATATGATTTTCCCATTATGTAGACCAATAAACAAATTTGTATTAACTCAGGATTCTTTTTTCTTGTTGCTGCAGGTTTTCCCTTGCAGATTTATCTGCTGATTTCCCTCTTTACGAGTTCTTTGCTTCCTTAGCCCCACTACCTGCCTTCTCTGTCTCTTGTTTGCACCTGACTCCTTCCCTGTCTTTGAACTCAGTATCCTGATGACCATTAGAGGATAAGTAGGCTACAGGGGGCAGAGCAGATGTTCTGAGGAGCAATGTGTGCATAAATAAGAGCTGTGCAGAACGTTAGGATTGACGGCCAAGGATGCTTTTTACTAAATAGGTAACAGAGGACCTGTGAAGAAATAATTGATAGGAGAAGATTAACATTGCCACAGATATTTTGCCTTATTTGTTTAAAATAGACTTTTTTTTAGGGTCATTTTTGATTCACAGCCAAACTGAATGGGAGGTACAGAGATTTCCCATTTACTCCCTACCCTCACACCTATATAGTCTCCCCGACATGATCAGCATCCCCCACCGGAATGGCACATTTGCTACAATTGATGGACCTACATGGACAAATCATTATCACCCAAAGTTCATAGTTTACATTAGGGTTCATTCTTGGTGTAGTATATTTTATGGGTTTGGACAAATGTTTAATGCCATGTATATACCCTTACTGTATACAGAGTGTTTTCACGGCTTAAAAGTCTTGGGTTCTTCTTTTCATCCCTCCCTTCCCTAAACTGTAATAACTTCTGATCTTTTCACTGCCTCCAATGATTTTGCCTTCTCCAGAATGTCATAGAGTTAGAATCACATAGTACATCATATAGTATGTAGCCTTTTTGGCCTTTATTTTTAGTTTTCCTGGTATAGCAGATTATTTACAAAGGCTCTTGGTATTTTTCCAAGAGCTTATTTGTTTAATAGTTGCTTGAATGAGAGTTTTTTTTTTTTTTAGTGTCAGATTTAAATACTGAATAATTATTTAGTTTGTTAAATATTAATAATAACTATTTAGCCCTGTTATTATGTGAGGACCGTTTGAAGCACTTTATAAATGAGTTAGCTTGTGCTTTTTATGAGTCTCACTAATTTTTTTTTCTTTTTTGAGACGGAGTCTTGCTTGGTCACCCAGGCTGCAGTACAGTGACATTATCTCAGTTCACTACAACTTCTGCCTCCCAAGTTCAAGCGATTTTCGTGCTTCAGCCTCCCAAGTAGCTGGGATTATAGGCATGTGTTACCATGTCTGGCTAAATTTTGTATTTTTAGTAGAAATGTGGTCTTACCATGTTGACCAGGCTGGTCTCAAACTCTCAGGTGATTCACTCGCCTTGGCCTCCCAAAGTGCTGGGATTACAGGTGTGAGCCACTGCGCCTGGCCAGAGTCTCACTATTTCTCATGTGTAAGAGATATCCTGTAGTGTGAATATGTGGATTGTCGCAACAGGTTAGAAGATTGCTTGGGACCTGTCTGGTGCATATGACTACGTTATGTCAATACTCTAAACATTCAGTTAAAACCTCGATATTAAAACTTAAAAAATAGGCTTTAAATATAAATATCTGGATGTTAAAGTGGTGATACGTAGTGAAAAGGATATGTAACAGGGGTATGAAAATCTTTATTCAGGTGCTAGGTTTGTTATTACCTATGTGAATGTTAACAAGTCACTTTTTGTCTCTGAACTTCATTTTCCTTTAGGGAAAGTGGAGGTAACACATACTTCATAGGTTATTTTTGAGGACCTTATAAGCTGTTTGTAAGAATCCTATGTGAATTTAAACTCATTGTAAAGAAAAGTGAGGAATTGTTTGGTTGATGAGTCAGACTTAGTTACCATCATAGACTTAATTTTTTTTTGTTTTGTAGATTAATAGTAAAGATGGGAGATAATGATTTGGGGCTAACAAGTCATTTACTGCTGAAAAGATGGTTATTTACAGCATCCGAGAAAAATATGCCTGCATTTTTTGCTGAAAATGTCTCATTGCATAAGCCTTCTTTTGTCTTCTTGTGAAAGGTATATACTTTGGGATATTCTCCTTGTGTGCTTGGCTCTTAATCTTATTTTTAAAAATTTTTTGACATGGGGTCTCGTTCTGTCACCCAGGCTGGAGTGCAGTGGTGTGATCTTGCCTCACTGCAACCTCTGCCTCCCAGGTTAAAGTGATTTTCCTGCCTCAGCCTCCCTAGTATCTGGGATTACAGGCGCCCGCCACCACACCCGGCTAATTTTGTATTTTTAGTAGAGATGGAGTTTCATGGTGTTTGCCAGGATGGTCTCGATCTCCTGACCTCGTGATTTGCCTTCCTTGCCCTCCCAAAGTGCTAGGATTACAGGCGTGAGCCACTGCACTTGGCAAGCACTTAATCATATTTATTACCTAGTTGTCAGCTTGAGATGTTAATCTTCCTTCCAAAAGCATGAATTATATTGTCACATTTTTGTATAGTGTCAGAGACGTATTATTTCCTAACTGTAGGAAGAAAACTCTAGATTCTAAAGCACGTTTGACCAGTCTCTGTATGGGTTAAGGCACGAGGGCAACGTGGAATTAGATAGAAAGATTCTTGGGAAGAGAATATAAATAGCCTTGTAAAGTTAAATTCCTGAGGGAAGTGATACATTAAATTCTAGTTTCAATCAAAATGTCCCTATAGTTTAAAATACTTAAGAGAAAAATGGTGACATGATAATGAATTAAAATTAGGAAAAAAAGCAAACTATACACTTCTAAGTTTGAGAATGGTTGATGGTATTTACTTCAAAATAAAGGTGTAATTGTCATCTCCTGTTAGTAACATTGACATGCTTATTATATTGTAATGTCAATTTTTTGTATTTATACTAATTTAAGTAACTTTCTTCTGCTAACTTCAAAATGTATCATATATTTAAGACAGAATGGTGGAATATCCTATGACAAAAGATCTAAGAATGACTGTTCAGCCACTAACCCCTAAAGTAGACATGGGGAATCAAAAAGGAATTGTCACCAGCAAGTAAGAAAGAGTACAGACAATTCCTGTTAGGTGTTATCTGATTTATGATATTGAGAATGGGGAGAATAAAAAAACTTTAAAAACGTTCTATAGAAGCATGCAGTCAAACAGACTTTATTTTTTAAATGTATTTGTTTGGAACAACTGTTTTTTTTTTTTTTTTGTAGCAAGCATATAGAAGGTCAGTTTAGAGGACTGAATTGGGTGACAAGATAGATAATATTCTCTCCCTGAAACTGGTTTCTCACTACCCAGGTTAAATGTGGGGAAATTCAATGGTTAACATTTCGTGAATTATTTTAGGACATTTAATCTCATCTCTTGAAAGCAGGATAGGCCTGGTGCAGTGGCTCACACCTGTAATCCCAGCACTTAATGAGGTTGAGGCAGGAGGATCGCTTGAATCCAGGAGTTCGAGACCAACCTGGACAACATGGTGAAACCCCGTCTCTACCAAAAATACAAAAAATTAGTAGGACATGGTGGCATGTGCCTCTGGTCCCTAAGGTGGGAGGAGTGTTTGACACTGGGAGGCAGAGGTTGTAGTGAGCTATGATCATGCCACTGTACTCCAGCCTGAGCAACAGAGTAAGATCCTGTCTCACACACACAAAAAAAGCCTGGCGCGGTGATGCCCCCGGGCAGTCGCAGCTACTCGGGAGGCTGAGGCAGGTGGATTGCTTGAGTCCAGGAGTTTGAGGCTGCAGTGAGCTATAATCACCACTGTACTTCAACTTGGGGGACAGAACAAGACCTTGTCTCAAAAGAAAAAAAAAGGCAAAAGCAGGATAAAAGAGGGGTATGATAGTTTGTTTAGCATAAAATGGAGAAGTAAGAGTAAAGTTGTTGAGTGAATTGCGTGAATTTGGGCATATACTGTTCCATTTTGGATTTTATGGTAAAGTGGTGAGTCAGCTATGATTTAAAAAAAAAAATTCAGTTCCCATAGAGACTGCCAAAAATTGCCAATGCCGACTACATTTCAAGGCGTTATGGCAGGATATTGGGAAATGTTTTCAATTAGCAAGAATTGCTCCTCAGATAAACCTCACTGGCTACGATACTACCACTGTGCAAAGCTAGCTATGATTTTTTATTATTAGAGGTCTCATCTTTAACTTGGTCTGATTGTCTTATTGTTTCAAGTTGACTTGCACAGTAATAGTTTCAAGCCCCTGGTCAAAGGAGTAGAGTAGCACATTACCTTATTTCACCTTTCTGTAGCATTCTATTCCATAGTGGTTTAAAGTTCACTTATTGAATAAATAAGAGTATATTTGATTCAGTTTCAAGTCTGCCCACTGAAGTGCTGGTTAAATTCAAGACTGCAGTGAGCAGTCTTTGTAAAATTCTTCTCTGACCAGCACTCTGCTGCTTAAAATGGTTCTGTGGCTTCTGGTCACCCTTAGGTTAAGAAAAACTTACTTAAATTTGCCTAAAAGACTTACCCTCTCTGGCTCTGCTTGCCTCTTCAGCTTTTTCTCTTTTTTCACTCCAACATTAGCACTCTGTACTCCAATAAGACTAATTTATAGACAATAAGTTCTTGTTACCTGGGCTTTTGTTTTATTTTTAAAATTTGGATTTTATGTCCTTATTTTTTCAGATACAATTTAGCTATTTAGAGACCTCTATCAATTTTCCTTGCCATGTGCTAACATATCACATATTCACTGAATGTCCTTATTTGTCTACTTTAATGTAGTGTAATGTAGTAGGCCCTCCCTAAATAGTTTTTGAATCAAGGTGATCTTGAGTCATTAGGGGGACAGCAGAGACTCTACTTGAATTGACCTTTGAAGGAAGAGAAGAACATTCAAAATAAGAGATATAGTTTGAACAAAGACATAGTGGGAGTCGCTTTTCTTTTTCTTAAATTTAAGAATTAAGAAAATACAGTATATCAAAAAACAAAAACTAGGAAAAAGCATTTACAATTCATATCATAGGAATAAGCTGATTTCATAAATATATAAAGGACACCAACAACTCAATGAGAACAAGACCAACAATTGGATAGAAAAATGGACAAAGGGTGGGGGGCAGGAAAAAAAATGGACAAAGATACAAATAATAGTAACAGTTCATAATAAGAGAAATGCAGAATTAAAACTTTAATGAGATGCCTTTTTAAAAAACTTAATTGGCAAAGAAACAAATTTGAAAACACAATGTGCCATTGAGGGTGTAGGGAACTGGGCAAATGTGATCATTGCTAATGGGAGTATGGATTTGTACAATTTTCATTGAGATCAGTTTGGAAAATTTGAAATATATATAACATTTGAGTTTTGTACTAGAATGTATCCTACAGATCCTGTAATTGTGTGAAATAATATATATTTAAGGATATTCTTGACAATAACCGGAAGCAACTTAAATGCCCATCCTTAGGGGACTGGATCAATAAATTATAGTATATATAATGAAATATTTATGTTAAAAATAATAAGGCAGTTTATATATACTGAAATGTAATAATCTTCAAGATATAGTAGGTCAGAAAGGTAAACTACAGAACAATGGATAGATTATTTTGGAGGAGACTTAAGCATGTATTTTCTTATATATGCATAGAATATTTCTGGAGCAAATTATAAGAAGATGGAAAATATCTCTGAGGATTGGAACTTGGTAGCTGAAGAACAGGGAGGGAGGTTATTTTTCACTGTATTCCCCTTGGGCATTTTAAATTTTGTATTGGGTAAAAAATAAAAACAAAGAAGAAGTATATTCAACTCACAATGTACTTCTGCATTACAAATAGTCAACTCTGAGAAATTAGGTAATAGAAAAGTGAATTTAAAAAGAATCCTGTGGTTCATGTATCTGATAAGGGGTTGCTATCCATAGTATATAGTTTGGGGGCCAGGGTAGGTTGATCACCAGAGGTCAGGAATTGAAGACCAGCCTGGCCAACATGGTGAAACCCTATCTCTGCTAAAAATATGAAAAGTTAGCTGGGCATGGTAGTGCATGCCTGTAAATCCAGCTACTCAGGAGGTTGAGGCAGGAGAATTGCTTGAACCTGGGAGTCAGAGGTTGCTGTGAGCTGAGATTGCACCCTGCACTCCAGCTGAGCGACAGAGTGAGAATCAGTCTCAAAAAACTCCAAACATCTCAGTAAGAAAAAACAACCTTGTTAAAATGTGGGCAAAGAGTTGGGATTGACATTTCTCCAAAGAAAATATACAAATGGCCAATAAGGGCATGAAAAGATGTTTAACATCATTAATCATTAGGGAAATACATACCAAAGCCCTCATGAAATTCTGTCTCATGTCCATTAGGTTGACTCCTATGGAGTTTTTTTGGAAGCGTCTATGGGCAGAGCTGATCAACTTTTTCTCTCTTTTTAAAAAAATTAATATTTAAAAATATATAATAATTATATTAGTTTTAATATTGTAAAATATGTTATCCTTTTGTTCTCCTCCTGTATAGTATGTATGTATGTGAGCCTGACTTCTGGATGCAGATATTTTATTCTTGGTGTTGTTTTATTCTACCTCTCTCAATGCAAGGGAGAAGATTGGGGTTTTTGTCTTAGTTGGGGTTTTTTTGGTCTTTTTTCTACTTTAATTTGTCTCAGTCTTGTTTTGTTTGGGATATAAACCATTCTCAGGGACCCTTTAATTTTCCTCTGTTTTTGTTTCTTGCCATGCTGATTCTGTTTCATTCTTAGGGTAGCCAGTTATGTTCCTCCCCCAATGGAAAAAAAAGCCAATATACATTTTTTTTTTAATATGCCAAATGTAAACCTCTCCTCCTTAACTGCTTTTCTCTCACCTTGTTTTGCTGCTCTGTTACAGTAAGTCTGAGTTCTGTTTGTCCTCTGCCACAAATGCCACCTTTTCAGTTTTTCCTAGACAATGGAATAGAACATGTCTAGAATACAAGAAGTGCAAGACATATGTTTCAAAGTTCTTGCATAAATGAAGGTGTGCATATAAATTCACTAGGCCTTGTTGATTTTTCTCTGTGATAGGTGAGGTATCCAATTTAGTTGCTCCGTTGATGTTTTACACTTTTATCTCTTCATTCTGCAACTTTGCTCTTTCCCTCTTTGCATTAAAGAAATATGAACTGAATTCATAGAGTCAATAGGAGCCATACTTAATTTTAAGGATAGAATTTGTCCTTCAGCCAGGTATTGGGTTACTCACTTTATTTCCTTGATCTGTTTTTCTTCCTAGTTCTCAGGTATTAAAGCTAGAAGATTTACACTGTCCACACCTTTTAATGATTCTGGGTTAATTTGTTTTGCTAATTTTTGTCTCCTGCTAGGAGATTTGCAGAAAAAATTCTGAAGAAAAGTAATTTCTGTTCAGCTTCTTTTGGAAATACTTCATGTAGTCAAAGGGGAATGAAAGGTATATTCTTAAGGATTGCTATTTGATTATGGTATAAAAAGAATTTTGAGTAGTAGTTTATCTGAAGTGTAATTCTCTTTTGGAAAATCTGACATCCTATTAGCATTGATTTGCATATCTTTTGCTTTTAACCAAGATATGACTGGATCAGGAGATAAAAGGTTATACATTTGCTGGATCAGAAGATAAAATGCTATACATTTGCTGTCACATAAAATTTAATTATAGGGTAATATAATCTAGCTAATTTTTATCTTTGTTTAGAGTATTTTTCAATGAGGGGTCTGGTTGGTTAGAAGCCAGAGGAGTCTGGTTGGTTAGAAGCCAAGCTGTTGAGGCCATTACATTGGAAATTAATCAAGGGTGGTCTCGTTTGCTTACAGAGAAGCCTTATCCCATCTCTTTGCCTAACGCATATTTTTGTTCTTAAGCAAACTAATATAGGGAAATTGGGGTCAGGGAAAGGGTTTGTTCTACTAGTAGTTCCCACCAGTTACAGGAGGTGACTAGGGTAGTGCATTGGTTAATATCAGCTTTGTATTTGAAAAGTAGAGCACACTAATATGATTATTAATAGGTAGATAACAGACTACAGAAAAAGTAGTTTAAAATTAATTGCAGTTTTGGTTTAAAAATGTGGTTGATTTTGCTCTGTATTTGTTTTTATATTTGCTGAAAGTATTACACATAAAGATTATGCTTTAAATACTGTAAAATGTTTTCCTAGTATTAACTAAATGATTGTGGAAAATGTTATATTTGAAAGGTCATGTTGATTTTCTGGCATTTCCAGTTTTACATTTTATATATACAGTTTGATTGCTTTAGGTTCTAGTTGAGTTTTAGAAGATCCAGGTAAGAAGTGCAGAAGATAAATTGCAAAAGGGCACATTTTTTTGGAATGTACATATATCTTATCTTTCTTCTGTTTCAGCCGTGAAATTTCAAATTCTAAAAGGCGATTGAGAGTGCTAAAAGTACAGCAGAATAATAAGGATTTTCAGTAATTGTGAAGTTTAAAGACAATGCTGATAATATTTTTTATTAATCGATGTTGCATATAGACTTAGTACTTTTCTTCCTTTTCTACCCCTTGTCCATTTGAATGAGACTTGAACGTTTACCTTTTACATAGTGGAGTGAGTTAATTGAATATTCAGAACACTTTTCCCAATAAGTAGTATCGGAATGCTGCAGTAGCAGTTATGAAACCAATAACTCGTCATGCCCTGTATGTTATTGGGAGTGTTGAATATTTCCTGGGAGTTGTGAATAACTGGAGGCAGTGTAGCATAGTGCTTAAATACACAGGTTACATGGTCAGATAATCTGGATTCAGCTCGGCTATTTACTGTCTCTTTGAGCCTGGGAAGATTTTTTAAGCTCTCTGAGCATCAGTTTATATCTTTTAAAATAGGGATAAAAATAAGGTTAATGTGAAGATTAAATGAGGTAATTAAAATAACACAATTTTTAATATTGCTGTGTTTAATACAGTGATGTAAAATTTTAACCAACACAAAATGAATATTCTCAATAAGCTGAGGTTTTTATTTTATTAGTTTCACAATAAATATATTTAGTTTTTTTCTTTTCTCAATGCTTCTTTTAGAGTTTGTAGATTTTTGTCATAATTTATGGAGGAGTAATATTGACTGATTTTTGTGACTGGCTAATCACTCTATCTTTATTTAAAATGAAACAAACC